TTAGCAATAAATGAATCATATGCACCAAATATGCACATTGGAAAAACTGGTAAAGGAAACAGAGCAATAAAACCTTGATTCTGCAGCTATAGTGAATAGGATTTTAGTGAGCAACTCACAACACAATTGTCATGCTCCTACACAAAAGAAAGTCCTATTGAGGTCTATGGGACTTACTCCCAAGAAAGGGTATAGTATTACAGGCTCAAGAGTAAAGTCAAATATTGAGGTTTGTTGTTTACTTTTTTTACTGTAACAATACACACAAAAGGACACCACAGAATTATTGCATGTTTGGATTATGCATCTAAATTGCATCCAGAACAGAAAATTTCTAAACAAAATGTAGTATTTAACAAGCCCCCTCCAAAAAGAAGTTGGGCAAACGAGGCTGCAATTCTGTACCCACTTAACAGGGAATAAAATCCCTTGAATTTAGTGGGGCTTACTGCTGAATAGGCATGTATAGGATTGCACTGCTATTCTCTTATACACACACTTCAAAAAAAGAAAACTAACATATTGTTCCCTTACAGATTTTACCCACAATCTAGCAAAGTTGGAGGCATTCAGCAATGCGTCTAATTCTAAGTCGGCTTGTTATCATTAGAAAAATAAGCATTATTTGTGTAATCCTATATGGTTACTCAGAAGAAAGTCTTATTTAGTTTAAAGAGGCTTCTGAGCAAAATTTAGAAATAATTTTAGTCACTATGGTGGTTTTTTTTTAAAAAAGAAAAATAGTGAATAGTATATGTGGCATAAAATTCAAAATGTCAGTCCCAGATTTTCCCTCATTATCATCAATGTCACTGCCATTTTTCTATTCTTTGCTTGATTTCATGCTGTTAAACCTCTTATCTGTGCATCAGTGTGATCAGGATTATTCAGCAGTGGCAGCTGCTGAATAAGGCCAAAGCATTTCAGTTGATTTCTGAAACAACTGCATTTCTAACCTCTTTTGACCCACTCTACAGACTAAACAGGAGTTCAAAATTTAATTCCCAATCTTGTTCAATGTTTTTGTCACTCACAATAATGTTAAGCTAAAAATGTGTCAGTGTTAAAACATTGATCTCCTTCCTCCCCCCCACCCTTTAGAAGTGCATTTATGCTGCGATCTATAAAGAGACACTAATATGATCAACTTACAGGGATCAACAACATATGTGGTGTTGCTTACATTACAAGAGCAAATAATGAAGCTATATTTAGCCTCTTATAAAACATTCTGAGTATTTGGGCGATGGTAACCATTACATACATAAAGACTTAAGTAGATACAGTGAAATTAAAAATAGAAGCGTTGGGGTTCAGGAACCATTCTCCATCTAAACATATCCATAGATCAATCAATATAAGGCACAGATACTAGTAGTCACATGAAATAAAGGCTTTCTAGTAATTAATAAACATTGTACTGTTCAAGTGCAAGCTTAGATATGGCACGAAATCTGCTTTGGCCTGTGAAATAATGTGTCTGTCTGTCGGGGGAAGGGGTGCAATGACTCTTACAAGTGCTGCTCCAAGACTCTTAGCATGCTTAATACCCTGGCTGGCTGTGACGTGAGGAGGGGGACAAAAAACTAGGAGGGAAGGTGGAATTGAATGAGTGCCCTGGAAGACGGCAGCACCAGCTGGCTGGAAACCTTAACAGGAACACTCCACAACCACAACATTTTGTTGGGCGTCTCTCTTGGCTCACCAATTCTTTAACTGCATTAGAAAAATGGATAAGGAAATGGGTCTTGCAAAATACATCAGAGTTTATGTTCTAAACATGTCACAGACCCATTCACTGAAGTCAGTAAGTAATTGCAGGTAGTAGGTTCAACATTATCCACAAGTGCAATCAGCTGTTTGTGTAATATTACTGAAGACTCAAGAACTTTCCTGACACAGGCAAAATGCACCTTGAATCTGCTGACACAGCTTTTAAAGTTTGTACTCTGATCATTATTAGCCATTGATGCACCATAACCCTATCCAGTCTGCAGATTTCCCTTCTGAAACAACACCCTTCAGCAGAATCCTAGCCCAACCTTTTCTAGGCTTGCAATTAGCTGGCCCAGTTGACTGATCTCTGACTAGTCCCTCACTCCCCTTGTCTTTAGCATACTTTAGCATAATGAAATGCAACTGCCCATATGCTATTAGTACTATACATCTAACAACGCTCTCTGACAGTCAGCAATTAGCTTGGGCAGCCACAGCCTATAATATCGCACAAGCAGTGTGTGGAGCAACTGTGTTCTACAGAGAGAAAGATAAACAGGCACTCTTGGAAGCAGTCCAACTTTAAGAAGAAGAACCCCAAAGTGAGCTTACTAAAAAAAGAATCCTAATTACTGCTGCAGATAAGGCAGGCCCTTTAGAGTTTACTCTCCAGCCCCCTCACAGCTAAAGTAGCTGAAGACTGCTATGTTTATTAGTTAATGTTTCTCCAATTCAGTCATTCTTTTAATTCCTATTTGTAGTAGCTAAACTGAGGTGAGGAAGCAATCTAGGCAAGAAACAAGTGTTAAATGAAATATATTTTTCTACCTAGCTAACTTTATTTTCATTTCCTTACCGTTTCCCTGGAATATCAAGTTGTATGGAAGGAATCACATATTTACTAGAATGGAAATATTTACATACATTCATTACAAAAAATGTAATGAATGTAAATCCATTAAATGAAAATTTAGAGTTTGTGTGTGTGTGTTTACCAGTTGAAAATGTAAAAGACTTTACTGCTACCTAGTAACTTTTTCTTTTACAAACAATACTCCATAACTTTTAACAAAGTGACAAATGGAAGACAGAAGGGATACAACAGTGAATTGAAGAGGGAGAGGGAGAGAGATTATGGTTAACAACTACATCTTCATTATTACCAAAAAAAGAAGATTATGCATTTTGGCAAAACAAATACTGAAACTTGTTTCACAATTTGGAAGGAGGCAGTCTATGCATTAAAACTTAATTATTTAACCTACAAATTAATCACTAAAGACGGGAATACTTTCATATATGATTAGTATAGTCAATAGTAAGTCCATACCACCTAAAAGCCAACAGTTTATTCTTGTAAAGCAAATCATCTCTCACGCACGCATGCATGCATGCACACATCTGTTAAGGCCATTTCCTCCTGCTTATGTTTCTATCAATGCTGTGACTCCAACCTTCTTATAGCGTCTAATAATTGTTGTCATCTGATTGTTGTTGTCCCACAGATGGCGCCACAGAGTGCCTACAGTCTCTCCATACATTAGAGCACTATAACTCCTGGTGGGTGAGACAGCAAGAATCTTGTGTGTCAACTCATTCCAGAAGAGAATCAATCCATAGTCCAGCCCAGCACTCTGCCGAAGATCTAGGAGTTTAGCTTGCTCCGGTCATGTCCCCCTTAATGAAATAACTGGAATCACAATACAACATAAGCAGTGGAACTGCGGAGAATTCACACAGTACAATCTGGCTTCCCCCTTCCTCTCTTCCCTTGACAGAAAAATCCACACTCCCTGAATGGTTTAGTCTAGTATTCCGGGGAGGACAAAGAAGGAAATGGTGATACTAATAGACTTTGCGCTTCCCCCAGTGCTTATCCATGGTTGCATCCCTCACATTCTATCATATCAGTTATACAGACATATGCTAAAACCAAACTCATTCGTCCTAGTGCTGACCTGGATGTAGCCAAAATAGCACCATTCACACACAAAGGAGAGGCATCAGCAGTTTGGGGAAACCCCAAGGTTTGCAGTCTTGCAGAAGAGAGGAAAATAGCTTTGGGAGGGGAAGCCCAAAACAGCTGAATGAGGACTACTGAGGGGAATGCTGGTAGGCTGCTGGTGAAGGGGAGGAAACAACAGAGTGGAGCATCGAGTCTGAAATCCTGGACAGAAGCGCCACGCACTGCAACATTTTGTTGCAGTTCTGATGAGCATTGTTTTGCAGTCATTCCTTTCCTATCATTCCTTTCCATCGATCCTTGTGCTGAATATTACAGATCACCTACAGTACAAATGCGAATTTACTGAAAATAAAAATAATAAGAGGGATGGAAATATGCAGAGCTCTTGCTTCCCGTTCACGCGCACATCTCACGGAGCGCAGAGGGAGGTGAACACCTGCTCGAGTGCAGCAAATCTCAACATCTGCCAGAGTTCAGCATGCAAGTTGAAAAGCCCTTTGGAAAGAGGTGAACGAAGTGAAGAGATCCTCACCCTTTCAGCTGTGCTCCACAAGCGCTACGAAAATCAAAGCGCGAAGCTTCCTCGCCCGTTTCCGAGAAACAGACGGGCGAACAGCAAGTCCCTCCCGGAGCCAAAGTTCCTCCTCCTCCTCCTGCTGCTGCTGCTGCTTCTGCGCTCCCGGCTTGCCTGATTCCAGCAACGGGCTCGTCCCTCGTTGGAAGAGCGGGGAGCGCAGAAGGCGCGCGAAGCAGGCGAGGGGCTACGCTGGGCAGGGCGGGCGGGCAAGGAGAAGATGCATCCGGGACGGCAGGGCTGCGGCTGCGGCTGGGTGGGGACAGGACTCCGAGAGGATTACACACACTCGCGCGCGCGCACACCCAGAGCCGAGCGCCGACCTGGGAAGGGCGGGGGAAGAGCGCGAGCGAGAGGCTAATGGACTTCTTAAGCTCGGCACGGGCGGCCGGAGAGACTCGCTGAGGGGAAGAGACGCTCCGCAGAAGCCCACGCGCTCGCCCTCGGAGGAGCTGCGGGAAGCCGGGCGGCGGCGGCGAAGAGCCCCCCCCCGCCCCGCGGCATGTTTTTCTCCCCTGATACCTATCTCGCTCCCTTCACCGCCTCCTCGCCGGACGGAGACTCAGCAGGGCGGCGAGAGCCGCATCTGTCCCTCGCCCAGCCCTTCCCGCTGACCTCGAACCAAGGGCAGGACGCCGCTCTCCGGCGACGCATCGAGCAGAAGCCGCTCGGGTCTTCCGCCCGCCCTCCCTCCCTCAGACTTGGCCGCGCGGGACGGGAGCAAGAAGCGGCGAGGCGCCTCACCTGAGAGACCCGCCGCCAGCAGCAGCGGCCGCCGAGAGTCCCGCTCAGCCCCCGCTGGCCGCTTCCTTCTGGGAAAGTAGCGCGGGCGCCAGCCGGCGGCAGCTTTCGCCCAGGCTCCGAGGAACCAGGGTGGCGCGGCTCCGGGGCGCGCTTGGAAACCCTTCAGGACGGCGGGAGAGCCAGCGAGCGAGCTGCCAAGCCGGGCGGCTTCTCCTCCTGACGCTCCTTTCCCCACCTGCAGCGGCGGCGCTCGCAGCCCTGGGAGCCCGCCTGACAGAGCGACCCGAGCGCCGCGGCCACGCCCCTGCTCTCCAAAGCGCCTCCCCATTGGTGCGCCGTCGGATTCCCACTGGCCGCCCCGCCCCGCCTCGCCTCCTCCTCCTCCTCCTCCTCCCCCCTGGTGTGCGCAGTCTGGACGCCGCTGCTTTCCGCAGGGAGAGGAGAGATTCTGATGGGCAGCCAGCCCTGGAGCAGACCTGTCGGGCCATTTGCTCGCGATGATGGATGGCTCTTTGGGACGGAAGAAGCGAAAGCTAAATGGAACTTTTATAGAGCTGGGAGAGGAGGAAGGCTGCAGAGCGAACTGCTCGTCTGGCTTCCAGAGGTTGCTGAACTGCAGCACCCAGCACCCCTAGCCAAAGGCATGATGAGGCACCCTTGGCAAGAAGCGGCCTGGAGAGCACGTAGCTCCTGACCACTCTGAGCCAAAGCTATTTTTGCAGCCCTCCCCTGGACCTGCGCCCTTGGCGGGGACCAACCTGACCAACCCCTAGGTACCCCCTTGGCCCTGCCCATTGGCAATGCCGACTGGCACGGATGGGGTCCTTCTGGTTGCAGCTCCTTGCCACACAGGTAGAAAGGGACAACTAGGATAGTCCGGAGTTGCTACTAACCTTTCTTTCATCTTCCAATGACATCACAGATTCCCATCCCTGAATGCGTAAAGCAGAGATGGAAAACCTGTGCTCCTTTCCCCGATGCTGTTGGGCTCCAGTCAGCATAGCCCACCAGAAATACACCTGGAGGGCCACAATTGTGTGCTTACAAGATGACTGCAGCCAAGGGATACCTTTTCCACACACTTTATCAGCCCCCTCCTAGACTCACACAGCCTGTGCCACAGAGAGGAAGCAAGTGGTCACATTCGTGCAGAGTGCATGTCAAGAAAGTGAGCAAAGCCATTGCCTTTGTATTAAATTATATGGCCGAGGAGTTAGGCTTCTGATAAATGCTGGTCCATTGAACAGGGAGGGAACACAGAGGCTAAGACTTGTGGGAATGTTCAGGGATGCAGGAGAGGATATATTGTTTGATTATAGCCTTTCCAACTTATGTTAACAAGTTCCACAATTTAGCAGAGTAACATTCCCCTTTTTAAACTCACAGAGGATGCATTTGCTCAGGCTCGCTACAGCCTCTATAATAACTGTCCTGGTATTTTCCCTTTATTCCCTCATAAAAGATAAGACACGACACAGTCTTCATAAAAGTATAAAAAGAGTTTACTCACATTCTGTTCACAGTTGGATCCCAGAAAGCAAACTTAGCTTAGAAAAGTATCATACACCTGGAAACTATCCCATAAAGAGACAGTCCCTTTGTCCTCTCTTGGCTGGAAGCCAAGAGAGCATCTTTGGCTAAGCAGATGTTGCTTTTTCAATGAAAGTAGTCGGAGAGAGAGAGAGATGGTGGCCAGTCCTATGCTTTTGTTACCTGCACAGGTGAGGCCATGCCCACCTCTGGTCGCATATAGAGGAATTCTGTCCCAGACAGGAGAAACAGGAAGTTTCAACTGGCTGGTCCAGACATCCTCTTTTATGTCCACTCTAGGGAGGTTGTACTTGACTGCTCTTGTATTTCACATCCCACAAGACTAACCCCAAGATCAATCCATTAATTCATGGCAGAGAACTCAAAACATACAGAGCAAACTTCCACAGGGTCTGCCTACCTTTTGCCTGCTGTCAACTCTCCCTTTACCACCACAGTAGTCAGCAACTTTTACCTGCAACTCCTTGACCTACAGGTAGAAAGGGGCAGCTAGCATAGCCTTGCTTTCTCATGCAGCTGCAGTTTTGACACCAATTCCATACAGGGATCAAGCAAGAATGTCACACTCCCTTGCTATGATCAGTGTCTTGCTCACTAGCCTAAAACTTGGTGGCTACATGCGGCATGTGGCCATTTCAAATGTTGCAATCATGTTTTACATACCCACATTTTGGGCTTTCCTTGATCACTGTGAGTGAGTGCAGTCCATGTGTGAACAAAATTAACAGTCACACACAATAAAGCTTTTGTCTTTCTTGTCTGTCAATGGGTGCCCTCCAGTATAGGAAGAAAAGGGAATCTCCCACACACAAAAAGCTGGCAGTTCAACTTGGGTTGCACTGATGGGGTAACACCAGGGAATTATTCTAGGTTTATGCCTATGTAAATGAAATCAACTTGTACTTTGTTCTGTGTTGCTAAGAGAGCCTTGCAGCTTTCTCAGGGAGCTGCCTCAATACAGAAATAGGATGCTCTATAAAAGCAGCAAGGATTTGATTTTTCTCTGCCCACGCTTTAATGCTGTTTAATTCTTCTTGGTAATGGCATTCTAGATTTATAATGGAAAGGCTAGGTCAGTAGTTGGCTTGCCTCAGTTCTATTTTATTTAAGATTCTATTGAGAAATCAGAACATCCAGGCACTACTTCAGTCTTCTGGAGCAGGTTCAGGAAAGTCAATACCTTGTAGACAAGTTTTCCAGTAATCCTCCCTCCCTTTCTCCAGTTTGATTTTAGTAAAAGAGATCGCCCCCCCCCCCCGATTTATCAACTGCTAGTTAAATTAATTATTGAATTCCTTAAAAGAAAGAAAGAAAGAAACCAGCTTAACTGGTAGGTAGATTGTTGCCTACAATATCAATACTCTTCTATTTTATTCTAGGTATGTCCATGTTCTCCACAGGAGTATACTCTGGATCCCTACTGAATGAAATAGCTTAATCACCCTGCAGCAACACACAGTCTTTCTTTCCTTTGCAGAGACAACACTGAGTAGGTTAATGGCATCCATTGATTGATCCATGCAGACAGTGACCACAAAGGAAAGCACAGTCTACTTTGCAATTGCTAATAAGAAGGAAAGATAAGGCACCATAAAGCAGCTGAGCTGACATAGTAGGGAGGCAGAGGAGAAGGGAAATTCATTTTGCCACCCTTACAGACTTTCAGCAGTGAAAAGCCACCTTCTGGCCCCTCAGTCCTTCTCTTTGCCAGTGCCCAGAGTTGCTCTAATTTGGAAAAATAAGTGCTTTGTGCTTCAGAATATTCACAGCCTTATAAGACTGGCTGTGACCTGGGAATTGTCTAGTCCACTCATGTGCATTGAAACAGAATCTCTATACCCTATGCCCCAACATTAGTCTTTATCAACTTGATTCTAGTGTGCAACAACTAGCAGAGAAGGAGTAACCACGATACTCTGGTATCCTTCACAAAAAGCTGTAACTCAAGAGATGGAGCAAGTGCTTTGCATAAATCAGTTCTCCCTCCTCCAATCTTCAATTAAAGGCACCCTGAGTCATTGGCCAATTGTATGCAGGAAGGAAAAACTCCACACAAGAGATGGGAGCCAAGGAGTGCTGTTGACAACTTGTAGTGTCCATTCGTGCTCATGGATGAATCAGTGCAAGAGCCCCAGGGGCTGGGTCATATTATGTAAATATTAGTCGCTTTAGAAATACCTACTTAGAGTTTCAAAATAAAATGTCAACCTCTAGGTTTTCCCCGCTTGTACAGCATGAAAGAAAATGTCACTGATTTGAATTTGATGTAGGAATAACAGCTTTTATGCCATGGAATGTTTTCCTTCTCTGCTCAGTGGTATTTGATTTCTGAAGGAGTAAAAAATGGTTCTCTAGGGACAATTATATATTTGAGATAGGAAGATGTGGTAGACCAAGCAGCTTATGGAGTGATTGCGTGAAGTACAGGCAATTTGCTGGTATAACACAGCTGCAAAATAGCTAAGTGAGACAAAGTATATTCTGCACTGAAAAGTTCTATAGGCCTGACTTAACGATAATAATGAATGTGAGACGATGTCGTGCATTTCTTTTAAAGCTGAGAAAGCTAGAACTATTATGCAGTATATATATGTTTTAATGCAAGACTTTTACAGCAAGATAATAATAATAAAAAACCCTCCTGTTATTTATCACAAGGTACTCAGAATCATGGTTGGTGGAATCTCATTTGCAGAATCCCTTCCTTAGTGATGGAAGTCCTTTTCACCACTGCACTAATCCCTACACATGTGAACACATAATTTTTCCCGAGATCTGCTTAGAAGAATAGATGATACAACATGACAATCTGTGATCACACCCAATTTTTATTTTAAAACATGTGAAATCTGGACCTGCTTTAAGAAATAAAGAGGCAGCTAATGTTTTTGTGACTAGCATTTATAAATATTCTCAGCCTGACAAATTTTGTGGCTAGAGACCAATGCTGGAGAGACATCTGCAGCCAGGGGAAGATGAAGGTGTCTAGTTGTGCTGCTGCAGATGCACCATGGCGTGTCTTGCCTCTGCGCTGCTCCCTTCAGCCATTCCTAAAATTCACAAAATGTGTTCATAAAATGTATTGCTTTATGCACATGTTATTTCAGTGCAGAGCATGAGAGTCATACTACACAATTGATCGTCTTGGGTTTCTTTCTAGTGTTATTTGACTACTGCAGAACAAATAGCTTCCCAAGGTATATTTTAATGGCTGTGGCATCTGCGGCATGAGAAGGCAAATTTGTTGATGGAAACTCTTCCTCTTTTTTCATCTTCTCAGTCTACCCTCTTGCCTTCTGTATGGAAGATTATGAGGCCATTCTCAGAACAGGCCACTGCCTTTTTGCTACCATTATTACATGTGCTGCCATTTGTGTGCTAAGAGGTCCAGATGCTTGTGACAGCTTGATTTCCTGGAGCAACCTACAAGGACACTGCAAGAAAGGCAAAATGCTTTAGCTTCAGTGACATGGAGGGGGAAATATTCTGCAATGTGACAGTAGCAATGCTACAATTTCGTAACACTTTCATCTCAAATGTTTGCTTTTCTTTAGCTTCTGACAGCCTTAACCATCACCCTTTCAGCTAAATTTCTTCTCCAGGCTGGAGAGATTTATACTTGTATACATTTAAACTGACTGTTTTCTATCAGTTGTTTTATTTGTTTGTTTATGTTACATTATTTTTCTACAGTTAAAGAGGATAAGATGACTGTTATTG